TGAGTCTTTTGAGATTTGGGCTCAGGCGTCTAGAAAAGGATAAGGATGGAAGAAAGGACGTTGAGGAGAGGAATCTTGGAAGTCAGGAGGTCAAGGAGAAAAATCAAACAGCTAAAGAAACAGCCAAAAAGAAATACGAAGAAAAACGAAAGACGGTTTGCCTTGGATTTAGAAAAGAGTGGCTAAGGCGAGTTCAGTTGGTTGGAATACAGTGAAGAGGAGGGGCAGATGAGCTGTGCAATTTGTAAACAGTTTCCCAATGATATCAGATAACAGTAGCTCGTTCTTCCTCGGTAATATCAGTTTTCACATGAGTAATATAAAGGGATACGATCTTAGCCGTCGACATCTACGTTGTATTGAAGCCAAAACTCTTGGGTTGTTCCTCATATACCGAAAGTTGAAATCGTTAATCATTCATATATCGAGAGTTGAAATAATTAACCATTCATACACCGAATAATACAGTGGGCACAGAGGAACAGTGGGCACAGAGGAACGGTAGGCACAGAGGAACGGTAGGCACAGAGGAACAGAGGGCACACAGGAACAGTAGGCACACAGGAACAGTAGGCACACAGGAACAGTGGGCACAGAGGAACAGTAGGTACAGAGGAACAGAGGGCACAGAGGAACGGTGGGCACACAGGAACAGTGGGCACAGAGGAACACAGGGCACAGAGGAACGGTGGGCACACAGGAACAGTGGGCACAGAGGAACAGAGGGCACAGAAGAACAGTAGGCACAGAGGAACAGTAGGCACAGAGGAACAGTAGGCACAGAGGAACGGTAGGCACAGAGGAACGGTGGGCACACAGGAACAGTAGGCACACAGGAACAGTGGGCACAGAGGAACGGAAGGCACAGAGGAACAGTAGGCACAGAGGAACGGTGGGCACACAGGAACAGTAGGCACACAGGAACAGTGGGCTCAGAGGAACAGAGGGCACAGAAGAACAGTAGGCACAGAGGAACAGTAGGCACAGAGGAACAGTAGGCACAGAGGAAAGGTAGGCACAGAGGAACGGTGGGCACACAGGAACAGTAGGCACACAGGAACAGTGGGCACAGAGGAACAGAGGGCACAGAGGAACAGTAGGCACAGAGGAACGGTGGGCACAGAGGAACAGTGGGCACAGAGGAACGGGAGGAACAGAAGGCACAGAGGAACGGTGGGCACAGAGGAACAGTGGGCACAGAGGAACAGTAGGCACAGAGGAACAGTAAGAACAAAGGAACAGTGGGCACAGAGGAACAGTAGGCACACAGGAACAGTAAGCACAAAGGAACAGTAGGCACAGAGGAATAGTAGGCACAGAGGAACGGTGTGTACAGAGGAACATTTGGGGACAGAGGAACAGTGGGCACAGAGGAACAATGGGCATGGAGGAACAGTAGGCACAGAGGAATACAGAGGAATCACAAAGGAAGAGTGGGCACAGAGGAACAGTGGGCACAGAGGAACAGATGAACAGTTGGGGACAGAGGAACAGTCGACACAGTGTGTTGCGTGTCATCTAGTAAGTGAGGATAAAAAGTTAGCCCAGAAGGAATATAAAGGACATGATAATTTCGCAAGGATCATACAATGGAACGTCAAGCACTGGCAGATCCAGACCTTGGTTAGAGAGGGGTTAGGATTTTTCCTTGACTTTTCTTGGGCAAAATACATTGATGTGGATTTTTTGGGATTGCCCACAAGCTTAAACCGGGGTTCTCACTTTTATGTCGAACAAACGTATCGGTTTCATTTACAGACGTAGACTTTTGAAGACTGTTTGCAGACTTTCTAAAAGGTTTGGTAGATGCTTCGGCTTACTTAAACCTAGATTAATACATGCTTTTGTCACTAGCAGACTCGATTACTGTAACGGTCTGCTATATGGACTTCCCGGTAACCGGAAGAAAAACTTCAGCGTGTTTACATCCTTTCAGGGGCAGCCAACGAGAATATAGTTCAAAACCTCATAAACATAGCATTGTTGAACGTACTTTAGTATTTAAACGGTAGATAAAGGCTTATTTTTATCCCCTAAAAATTTTTCATCTGTTTGGATTTCCTAGCTGAAAGTTTAGTGATCCGAAAATTATAGGGATCAAAATTTACCTTTTCGAAAATTTCAGCCAGAAAAAAAGCTCCCGAAAATTCTAGGTGACCTTTTTAGGGTAACAATCCGTTAAAAATGGGCAATTATACGATTTTTTTGAAGTTCGAAAATCCTAGGAGAGGCAGGGAAGAAATTTTTTAGAAAATGATCCGAAAATTCTAGACCTCAAATTGTACTTCCGAACAGATAATTTTCCGAAATTGTCGTTGGGTGCCCCTGACCTTTTGTCATATTCATTTTCTTTTGTATGATCGTTTTCCTACAGAGACACTGTTAATACTAGCATCAGGGAACTGATGTAAAGACAAACTGTTGATGTTATTTCTTTTCTTTATTAATTTAAAGCACATATAAAATTGTATAAAATTGTCAATAATATTATTGTACTATGCTAAAAAACAAACTTAGCTAACTAGAAACATAAGTCATCCAGACTGTATGGACATATCTTGTTTATCTTTATTCATCTCACATCATAACGTACTTGGTCAATGGTTTATAATTAAGACTAGCTCGAGTCTAACAATGAACAAACATGATCCACTTAGAGGGATAGCAATTTGCCTACTATGCACATATTTTGAGTAGGACATGAAATTGTTTCATGTCCCATAACAATTTGTTTCATGAAATTGTTTCTTAAAATTTTTATGTCATAACAAATTATCAACTTACAAGCATACGATAGAACAGATCTGCTAGTTTAATACTTGCCCTGGATACTCGATCTTCCTTTTTGTTATTGTTGTCCCACTCACTTATTACTTACAACTACTACTTACTTTTTTAAGGTTAAAAATTATGTTTGAAACAAAGTTTTCCTCATCCCAGTAACTCTGATATTTTAGTGCAGTTAATCTAAAAGGGGGCAGGGAAGGGTTAGTTCTCCTTTTAACCTTTAAAAACTAACTGAAAGCACTCATCACCCAATAATTATTATGTGATTACTACTAACGAAACAAAATGGATCATACTCAGATCACTTAGTACTGTTCTTTAAAGTCCCTTCATAACAACATGGCACTTTGAAGCTTTGATTACACCTGTAGTTTGACACTTCCCACTTACTTAAAATTCTAATATTGTTTTTAGGTTTTGCACTACTGCAGGGAAACAAAAGAATCTGCAGGAGTTTTGCAGTAAATTATGTTTATGAAAACTGTTAAGAAATTTAATGTATTAAAGAACGACTATGATCAAAAAGGCACTTTCCTTTCTTTCAGATTTTGATAGTATCTTTCCAAAACAATTACCATGCCGAATTTTAAGGCTTTTTTTTTTTCAAGGAGAGGTCTGTTTATCCTAACTATGATTTTTTGGTTCGCCTGTCTACTGTTACTAAATTCTGTTCCAGTCAAGTGGCAATGAGAGAGTTTGGTCAAGCTCGAAAGTGACGTTATTTTCTTATCAGTGTAAAATGTAGGTGACGGCAAAATGGCTAATCAACTATGCGGCACCAGATTTTGAGCTTCCAAAATTGAAACACGCCATCTGCATACTAAAGTAACAGTGTTCACGCACAGTAATGTTTAACTGGTGAGAAAATGACATCACTTTCAAGCTCCATAGAACTCTCATTGCCAGACGACTAGGACAGAATTTAGTAATGGTAGACAGTCCTTGAAATAATGGCTTACAATTTGGCATGGTAAATGATTTGGAAATATTCTTTTGAAATCTGAAAAGAAAAGAGAAGTGGTTTTTTTTATCATAGAAGCACTTAAAATTTCTTATAGCACCCTCTCCAAATCAATCCAAATTCAAGAAGAATTGACAGGAGTACCTAAATAACAGAGAGCCTTCTAGAAGTTTGCTCTGGGAGGGTAAATACCTTGAAAGAAGCATAAAAATTCCAACATTCCCTGGAATTTCGAGAGTAATGCAACCCCAAAAAAACATGTGATAAAAAATATACATATTATCTGAATGTGCATTATAAGGTGCAATATCTTAACTTTTTGGTCCTATTTTCCTAAGGGTCCATTTACTTATCTCTGGAAGCCAACAAAATTCTTTTCCTGTAACTTAGCTTATTATTTCCTTTTATTTTAAAAGATTTGCTAAATGTTCATTTGCTTCAGAGGGTGACTCATTCGATGATGGCAATAGACCCCTCATCTGTCACATGACCCACAGACAAAAAATAATTACTGAAAAAAATAGTTGTTTTCATTATCATAATCTGGTTGACTGGAAGTTTCTCTTACTGCAGCAACAATGGCCTTCACATGAATAAACCACAGGGAAAATATTCCACATTGGAATTGCTTCCAAAACGTACAAAGCAACCAGCCACATAAATGTTTATCATTTTTTTGTCAACGGGTACTAATAATAATTAGCTTTTCACTACATCAGCCAGTTGGCTTTGTTTTCTACAGCCCTTGTAAAATGTTTGTATGGGATTCATTTCAAATCTTGTTCACATTTACAACTTCCTTAATTTTTAGAAGTAGAATGGGCTTACATGCAGACTGATGGATTTATACCAGTCATTAGCTTTATCCCTTAGTCACCAGCAACTGTCAATAAGTAGCAAATCATTTTGTTTGATGGAAAACTAGTACTGCCATTGTCAGATCAGGATAGAATATCACAAAAAATGCTGCTGGTAAAATCGAGTAAAAACATGCAAACAATTCGATCATATTGTTTTTCAGGCCTGTCGTTCATTCATGTTTAGACTGTGTTGCTCACCCTGTAAAATATATAAAAGAAAGTTGCAAAAGCGGAAAAATGAATAAAGTCAGTAAAAGAGATTGAAAAGTAACTCACTTATTCAGTAAGAAAGCAGCAAACCGTATGTTGGTTGTTGTTGGTCGTGAAAACCATAAGTAAAAAGTACAGGGGGATAAATTGTATTACGTAGCAATGAGATTACTTCTAGTTGTCTAGTCGTCCTCTGGTGTGATACCGTGCTCGTTCTTTAAGCGGTCTTCATGCGGTGAGTGGGTGAGAAATCTGTTGAATAAATCCTTATTGATGATGGACTTGTCTGCACGCTCATTAAAGGCGAGGAGGTACCTTTCCCGAGGCACCTCATACATGGCCAAGACATCATCGCTGAGATCCGCCGGAAGCTTCTTGAAGAAGACGGTGCTTCTTTCAATGGTTTTGACTGTGCCAAAGCCGTCTGTTGCCAAAATTTGCATGGTGTCACTTAAAACAGCAGCAGATGGCCTTGCATTCCCACTAAAATTGCGCTGGGCCAGACGTGTTGATACAAAAGGCCCTTTACATAGGAGGATGCGCCTTTGCCTTTCGTAGTTGTCAGCTGGGGCGGTCTCTGAATCAGAGGAGACAAGCTGCAAAACATAATAGGCATGAGTGTTCCTGAGGGATCTTGGTTTTCTGATTTACATGTATGCATAAACTAAGGTATTCAATCAGTAAAGTGAACATCACGAAATAAAAAGCAAATAAAGTAAGAAAGGGATTTTATTGGCTGCTTTCCTTGTATTTTTTCACTCCCATGTTTCTTTATATTTTTTAGATCATGAAGAACTACATCCCTCTCTTTTATTGCCGGTACTTTTGCACTGACTGATAATTTGTCATTCATGTTACGCGGAGAGTGCAAACATTAATTAATTACGTTGCCCAGGGGAAAAAATTAGGTTTTGCATTCCATCCAGAACTAATCCCAACCTTAGCCTGGGGTTGGGGAGGTCGGGGTTTACTTTGACTGGTACATAAAACAGACATTCCAATCCCACAAAGCCAAAAATAGGAAGCTTTAGTTCGCCAAGGGCATATACAAACCTAGTAAAAGGGTGAGTTTTTACATTGGTTTGATGTTTGTGACAAATCAGCAGGATCTAAATGTCTGACACATTTTTTTCCTGGCGTAAACGATAACGGCTGTTTGCTCCATTTGCACAGAAAAACATGTAGTGTGTGAGAGAAAATTGCGTTGGTGGTTGCTTATGAGTCAGACGAATCTTCTGAGGAGAGTCTTTTTAGGGGGTGTCTAGAAAACGACGACCTAGAAAACGAAGACTTACGACCTAGAAAACGACGACCTAGAAAACAACGACCTAGAAAACGACGACCTAGAAAACAACGACCTAGAAAACGACGACCTAGAAAACAACGACCTAGAAAACAACGACCTAGAAAACGACAACCTAGAAAACGACGACCTAGAAAACGACGACCTAGAAAACGACGACCTAGAAAACAACGACCTAGAAAACGACGACCTAGAAAACAACGACCTAGAAAACGACGACAGGGATGGGGTAGCTCGAAGGATTTAAGGGGTTAGAGGGGTACAGAAGGCGGGAAATAAGAGGACGATAGAAGGGAATTATGAAGGGGTGAGAGGTGGGCGAAGAAGGAAAATTACAGAAAAATAGTAAATATTATTTGTACCGGCTAAGGGTATGAAGCCAAGGAATAAAACGGTGGAAATGGAAATGCAAGGTACGCGAGGTCTCCCCTCTGTTTCGTTTACTAAAGAAGCGTTGCCTGTTTGTTATTGGATAGATTTATTTGATGACAAGAATTGAATTAGCTTATTGTGTTTCAAACCAGTTTTTCAGTAGAATCGAAGTGAGAAAGAAAATAATTTACAGTCTGTCTATAAATCCACTAACCTGAAGAATCTGTTAAAAGAATTTGCTAACCTGTAAAGTGCGATTGTTGTAACGACCCGCCACAGAAGTAAGTTAACATTGAAGTTTTCTGAATTTAGCTACGAGATTAAGACGATTTGTGTTTGTTCTGATTGCGAATTATAAACGTATTTCTTTTAGATCGAATAATTATTAAAGCTTGGTGGTCATTGGAGCTAACCAGTTCCTAAGGAAACACCCTCCCCATCTAGAACTGGCTGGGAAGGTGGACAATAAAGTGTTTATGATTAAAAGTATATCGGGTTAGTTTCATAAGCGATCCCGGAGTGTGTTAATAAAAGGAGGTTTGGGGAACGAAGTATTTCTAAAAGTCAAAATTTGGGAAATTTTCACGTTTAGGCGGCGATGCTCGATTGATTTATTGATTAACGTAAACCTTCGTTACATGTGCCGGGCGAGATACCTACACCTATTGTTCTTGCGTTGTTTTCATAACGCGGTTTATAAAACCGTCTCTCGCATTTTTAAACAGCAGTTACAGAGTGCCTAGTGTCTTCGTAGGAGCTATTATTTTGTCTTGGACATTGCATTGTGCATTGCGTGAAAGTGATGGAAGAATTAAAGATGAACCGAAGTGAAATTTTTAATTTTGCTCTGCGGCGTTTTCTCTATTTCACATGATGTAATAATTTATTTCTGAACAATTCAAAAGTTCTACCGGAGATCTCACTGCATATATACCACGCTATCGGACCTGTGAGGAAACAGAAACTCCTAGGATGATACGATTCAAATCTTACAGTTCAAATACAGTTCAAATCTGATGACATGTCAACCTTCCTTGTGTCCCACATAATATTTCACAATTCTCGTTACCAGTATGCTGCCGTTTCATGTATGGAAAGGTACGAGAAAATGTTGAAGCCCTTCTTTCTTTATTTTCAAAATATAAACTGTTTGTTTACGGTATTGAGCTGTGAACACAAAAACGGCACGCCTGATTTATTTCCTGTTTGATTTATGTGGGCTTGAACTTCCCGCTATAAACGACGCGCCAGTGAAGCAGTGTATATTATTTAGGTCATTTAGATTGGATGGAAATTTGTTTAAATTGATATCAGGATAATAAATAGGTCAAAGCAAAGCTTTTGCTTCCAGTAGTCAGTCAGGTTGAATCATTACTTCATTGACCATACTAAAGGAAAATTTGACTTGAGAAACTTTTTCAGTGGAGCTCTCACGCGCGCGCAAAGGGAGCACAATTGGTAACAAATTTGGTTACCTTTGCATGGGCGCCATTCCATTCAGTCAAAACGTCTGGTTTAAATTTTCGGCAACTTCCATGTAGTACCGAATGGAACAGCATTTTCGCAATATACACCCAAATTTTCGAAAATTATCATCGGGAAGAGTTTCTTTCCGCATTCAAATTTACTCCCGAATGTCGCATGGTTCGCATTTCGGAAACGTTTCCGGAAGTCTGGGAACTTTTCCGGGAAAATGCTGTACCAATTGCCGCTGTTTCCAAAGTTTCTTAAGTTTTGGGTGAATGAAAAGCGCCCAAAATGCATCCAAGAAATTTTGGTTTTGAGAGAATCGTCTGCACGTACTACGATGTGCAAAAAAGTGTGCTGCACGTGCAAATTAGACCTATTGACCTTAGCATTACTTATAACCAGCCCCGGGTAACTGGCGGCTATGAGCGATTTGCGTGAGTGTTTGGCACGTTTGATAAGATTACACTGAGATTTGCTATGAATATGCTATTTTGGTTTTGTCCGGGGATGGGGCATTTCGCACATTTCTACTAAGCCCCCGCCACCCGCGGTTTTTTTTTAGGTCTTCGTTTTCTAGGTCGTTGTTTTCTAGGTCGTCGTTTTCTAGGTCGTCGTTTTCTAGGTCGTCGTTTTCTAGATCGTAGTTTTCTAGGTCGTCGTTTTCTAGGTCGTCGTTTTCTAGGTCGTTGTTTTCTAGGTCGTCGTTTTCTAGGTCGTAGGTCTTCGTTTTCTAGGTCGTCGTTTTCTAGACACCCTCTTTTTAGGTGTGAAGTCATTGAAGACTGATAAGTGAACTGATACAACTGTTATAGCTCCTGTCTGTGATTCATATTGTGCAATTAAAGCAGTGAAATAGGTTGTATTGTTGAACTCCTAATTTTGCTCTTTCACTTGGAATTTTTTTGTCTGACCATACTATTTCCTTGTGAGGCCACATCTGGTCTCTGACCTGACAAATGACGTGCTTATAAAAAAAATTATTTGCAGCCTTGTTTAATAAAGGATTACAACTTTCTTGAACCATCCATAGGAAGTTCCTAAAACTAGGACAGGGCAAAGAAAAACAAGGAAATGGGAGTATAGAAATTATCATTCGGCGGAATTTTTCAACTGTAATTCAATGAAAACATGAAGTTTCTTGAAAGAGAAAATGGTTTTTTCTTTGAGTTTATATCTCTCACAATATTTTTGAACATGTAAAAGAAACATGGTGAAATCACCTAGCTTAACTACACTATTGCCCAACTACACAATGTATTTTATCATTTTTGTTGATGCTGAAAGTATTGAACTACTTTGGCATTACCCTGGGCGATTTAATCCAAGACTCCAGTATTATTACAAAAAAATGGTTTCCCTTTTCTTAATCCCTGTTACTGGTGTTAAGAGCATTTGCTGTTGGTTAATTTGTGCCTCCATAAACCATGCAGTCACACATAAATTTTATAATCAATTGATTCATTTTTTCCATCCTTTTCATTGGCTCAGAGCCTACCACGTGACCTGCAAATAACTGCCTACAAATAATGGTCTTCTCATGCGCATACGGGTCCAACGATGATTTAGCTATAAATAATATTCTGCTCATGCAAAGTTGTGTCCACGAAAAACAAACTTACAGTAAAAACAAACTTATTGATCAAATGATAAAACAATTATTATTGAACTCGGTTTTCACAACATATCTTGATTTTTCAGTGTCTCGCAGATCAATTCTTTGCCTCAGCCATCGGCTTCGACAAATAATTGACCTGCTCACCACTGACAAATCAGGATATTTTGCTCAACCTTGTCCAATAATTAATTATTGAACAACCACTTACCTGGTCAAGGATTCTTCTCTGTGCTGTGAAGTATTTGCACAGTGTAATGCTCCTCTGAATTGTTGTGCTGCTAATAACTTGTGATGGTGGGGATTTTTCTTGTCCTTGAAGGAATTTTGTTAGTTGGTCATATAAAACATGTAGAACTGCTGCCAGCCGCAGTACATGTCTATCATCTTTGGAGACATCTTCTGGGCAGATGTTTCTTGCCCACTGGCTGTTCAGGGAGGCAGAGATGCCATCTATGAATTCCTCATACCTTGCATTGCCCGCTCTGTCTGGGGAGTATGTTGCAGGGCCATTTTCAGAATGAGAAAACTCGTATATGGCAGAATACATGGCCCTGAAATTTAAAAACATTTTTTTCTTACTTCTTACATTTTTTGTACAGTCGAACCTCTCCTTACTGACACCTCTATAATACGGACACCAATCTTTTACAGACAGATCTCTTGGTCCCAGAAATGCTAAAAATCATACACTCCCTACCTCTATAATGTGGACACCTCTGTAACAAGGACACTTAGCTCTGTACCTTTGGTGTCCGTATTAAGGAGGTAACTTGTATGTACTTCCATGAGTGAATAGGCTAACCCTTGCCAGCTTTCAGGACAATCATATTAACATTGTTAGGGACAAAATAACTCATGCCTATTGTCCTAGAATAACCTGAAACTCCAAAGAGTACAAAGTACAAAGTTTCTATCCTGGTAAGCTGTTGCTGTCTTCATTGTATATATATATATATAAATAAATATATATATATAAATAAGAGGTTTGAACTTGAAATCCGTAAAACAGTGCTCAATACATAAAGTAGAGCGAGTATACGTATATATATATATATAAATATATATATATAAATATATATATATATATATATATATATAACATTTTTTCTGTAGTGTACACCTACTTACATGTATGGACCCAAAACATTCAGGTCAGTTAAATTGTTCCATCAACATATGTTTAAAACTTGCCATAAACAAAAAGTTACCTGAGATCTTTCACTTCAGAATGATTCAGTTTGGTGATAAAATCTCTAGTTTCACGTGCTGCCAGACGATGTGGCAAAGGCTGGTACATAAGAATCCTGTCCACTGCACCATCCTGCCTTTCCTTTAGTTTCACATAGATTGGAAAGAAGCGGTTGGGTTGGCTGTAGCCACTCACTGACACCCCTGGGCTGTCAATGACTTGATGTGCTGACTTGTCTCCTCGTGTATAAACCCATGTGCTTCCGTCATATAACTGGATCATGCGCTCCATGTCTATGCGGCTCTTTTCCCTGGAAGCACCCAGCAGCTGTTCAAAAAACTGGGATGCTTCCTCCTTGCCAATGATGGCTTTATGGCCAGGAGTTGATTTGAGCTGCCGGAATAGCCCAGCTTCCGTAAATTCATCGACAAATAAAGGGTTATCCTCTTTTGCCTCCACATGCAACCTTATCGGCTGTGCACAGCCGTGTTGAAAGGCAGGGGACTTCCCTGCCCCGGGGTCACACAAGCAGATCATGTAGAGGTTTACAGTTTCTGCACGTATTCTACAGTCAACCTTGACGGTTGAGGGCCCCATCAAGCATGCCACAGTTGGCAAGACACTGGCTAGCAGGATGTCTCTTGTAGTGTTGTTGGCCTTACTAAATGTATCCAACCACTCACTTATGAAGGTTGGACAGATTTCATCCCATGGAATGCTGACTTCTTTGCCTTGTTTCCTGACTGAAGGGGCTTCAGCTGCTGTTCGGGCCCGTTTGGCTGATGGCGGAAACGCTGAAGCCATATCTGAAATGACAACCGAAAGAAATTCAATACATTGTTTATCGAGTTACTCTGAAAGTTTCTCACCACCTCCGTGTGATAATCTACACTCTTTATTCATTTACTAATTTCCACAAGGACCTAACACATGTCAACTTTTTTAAACTATACTGATTTCTATGGAGACCGCCCCATTAATATTTTGCACCTTAATCCAAGGAATGTCAGTCATGCATTCCAATTTGTCGAACTATTCTCCTTAATTTTGTGCATTTGAATTTTCAAAAAAATTAAGCCAGGGCCCAGGTTTATCATGATCTGGACGAATAGTTTAGTTTTCTGTTTCCTTAGAGAGTACTTAGGCTAACATTAATTTTTGGTGGTTCAGCTTGTTATAAGTATTAGTTATTCCACCTATTCTTCTTGGATATGGGATCTGCAGCTGCAGTCACACTACTTAATAACTGGCCATTAATATTAACCCTTGTGAAACATAAAGAAACATTTTGTGTGTGAACATTGAACTTCCTTGAAATTGCCCTTGATCAGAAGAAAATCCATGGACAAATTGAACACGAATAAAAGAATAATAATTGCTAATATGACAGTTCCTGGGGTGTTAGGAAGAACCCATAACTGCTAATTGACTATAAATCATGACAGAGAAAAGGATGTGTAAGAAACACTAAAAATAAAGAGCTGAACACATGCTCTGGTTGACAGGATTGAAAGATGCATCAATTTAAAATGGTGTTTAACTGAAATCAATGCTTTCCCTGTTTGACGGATAGGTGACCTCATGTCACAAATTATGGTGAATAACCCTAAGAATACCAGAGATTAAAAGAGCATAAAACAAATAGTAGATCCACCAATTAATAGTGTGATTTTATGGTGGTTTGAATAACTAAGAAAATACTGTCTATGCGTTGCAATGGAAAAAAGTGCCTAACCACATGGCATGCAGTCCAGAAATTTTTTCCATACAAATCCTAATACATTCCAGCACCCATGGTCTAGTCTTATGTGCCAATCACCTCAAAATTGGTTTCTACGTAATTTTCTCATGCCCTTTCCATCTCTGTTCTTGTTGCTGCAAATCCACCAGGCTTCGAAGCAGACCTGTTTTTGACTGCATGTGTGATCAGTCTGGACTGCCTGTACATGCAGCCATGTTGATTTGAAATGTTAAAATGTTTCTCACCCAATTTGCCTTTATTTCATGGCCATTGATCAAGGCCTGTGGAAGTCAATAGATTCAGAGAGTAAACAGTTCATTTTATTGTTGAAAATGGAAAGCAAATACCCTCCAAAACACCCAGCTGTCGATAAACTAAGATGAAAAATACCTTTAGCAGTGAAATCAAGTTTTGTGTCAATTTTGCGAAAGAAAAGTACAAACCAAGTCGTGATAAATGACTGCGAATGAAGTAGTGTACATGTACATTGTCTTTCGTATAATATATAAATAGCGCAACTTCTGTAACTCTACAGTAAAATAAACTCAATGTATTTTTTTTCAGATACACTTTACATGTCATGTGCAGAATGTGTTTAGCTCGTAGATTGTGCTGCTGTTTTCAACAGCATCAGTGGAAAACAATGTGTCATTAAGTATTGTAGTTATCGTGCTACAGATGGCCAGCTTTTCACTTGAAAGCAATTCAGTTTTCTTTAAAGTCCTCCTTAGATCTGAGAGAAAGTCATTTATTTAAATAATGAGTAAAAGGCTTCTTATCTGAGTACAATTTTTGGCTGACTATTATTTTATTTGATAATTTGTTATACTTTCCATTTTTCCGAGAAACCAACAGCATAGTATTTTTTCTTGATTTCAAATTGTTTATTTTTAAAATACAGGTTGGGTATACAATTTTGAAACTGGTTCTTATTTTGAGAAAATTCTGCCAAACACTGAATACACAATTTTAAAAAAACAAGCTCAGTACCGTGTTTTAATATTGTTTTTGTTCTGATTAACTTGCAAAGCTTTGTTTATAAAAACTTCATAAATGGCTTTAACACGCTTGGAGTAAAGGGATTTTTATAACATATTATGTATGCAATACTAAAACTAGGCCCAAAATAGGCCACCCATCAATGACTAACACCTTACTTATTTTTTAAAAATAAAAACAAGCTGAGTAGCCTTATTTTTCAGTAAACACCATTTTTATAAGAACCATCTTAGTCTAGCTTGAAAAAACTTAGGTTTTTATACGCGGGTTTTTACTGTATATTCTCATATAGTCCACCAGGCATCATATGCATTACCATACAGTATGTGGGAAAATCACCTCTGAATATGAGTAATGGTTAAAAAAATGCTCTGGCCCTTTTCTGAAAACTTCCAAGGGTAAAGAGTGAGCAAAACAAACTTTAAAAAAGCTTGTTAATGTTGTAAAATAAGCACAAGTCCGGGAGTTATCTTGTCCTTTAGGAGAACAGTAAAAGTAATTTATGGTGTCCTAAATTAGTAGCAGTTGACTACGCCTTAACCAGAGAAGAGGGAGGAGCTCTAAAATCTGATCTAAAAGGAGTTTATGCAGGAAATCTCTGCTTTTGCTCCTGACGCGGGCTCTCGTGAATAATTTACTACACATTTCAACAATACACCAACTATCATTCGGTTCGATTACTCTTTATCTTATAACTAAGATACCTTTTGATGCACTCTGACGAAAATCCTACAATACTTCAAATAAGCGGCAAAATCTCGATGAAAGCCGTCCCTTGTAAAAGCCATTTTGAATTTAAGCTTATGGTGGAACAGCCGCTGTTCGAAGTGCTTGTGGTATTGAACTGGGGCGTTGCCTGTCCTGGTTTTGTTCTTATAGCCCGAATTTTCCTCATTGAAATTTTCTTCATTTACCTTTGCATATATATTTTTTTATAAACTACAGTAGGAATACACGAAAATAACACTGGTACAAATATTGGTAGTCTTTATACCAGAGCCTATATAGTAGCTTATATATATAGGCAAAGTAAAATGAAGTTTCAGGAACAACATACAGTACTTCGCTAAGGACGGTTTTCAACTCTTTTCGAACTTTTCTTGCCTTGAATAGTTTCAACTTTCCGACTTTCATGAGATGCAAAGTGAAATAACTTGAGATTTTACTCTGGCCTTCACACACGTATTTTTGGTTAAGAAAAACTAGCTTTGTTCGCAGGGTAAACTAGCTTACACTTATTAGTAGTCTGCGTGCAGCAAAAGAAATGAGACGTCAGCACACAGGCTAAAACTTAGCAGCAACAGAAAATAAGTTGGGCGCCCGAAAATATCGCCAACACTACAGGCGGTTTTCTCTCATAGCTCTCCCTTGACCTTCAGACCCTGCAGATTCGTATCTAGGATTTTAGTAAGTGACATGCTTCGTTTTCACTGTAGCTTAGAGATTTTTCAAAGGGCCTCTCCGAAAATTTCTGGCAAAAGGTTTAGAAAGCCTCAATAATTTCAAATTGCAGCCTATTCCCATCTGTGTCACCCTTATACAAACAGAGAGCAAAAAGATAATCTCAGAACATGACACTAAAAGAATATATTTTTTAAGAAAACAAAACCATTATTTCTGGGTTTCCTTGCTTACAACACATGATCAGGCCTTCCGAAGAATATCAAGCGGTAATACTACAGCGCAACACGCTCCCCACCTTAGCCTGCAGCAGCGGTGTATAGCCTTTTCTGCGGGATAAGAGGAAGAGAGAAGGAAAAAAAAAAACGTATAGTTTTGTCGGGAAATGGAGCGCAATTAAGCTAGCGGCGAAGCCACGAGGAGAAGGCTGCACTGGATGTGTTTCATTGTTTATGCGTTAGACTATTAAAACCTCGGTAGAGTATAATGGGTTGATACAAACATTCCCGATATCAACAGAAAAAAGCATGCAGACTAGCCTCCCCGCAGACGTCCTTTGGGGTTCGTTTGTCACGCATTCATTTCTCCCCACGGACGTCTGCTAAACAGAGCCGAATTTTACGTTCTGGATTGTTTGAATAAGCCAATAAGCGGTTAGTTATTGTGTCACGATCAGCCAATCACGCGCCGTGATATAAGTGATGTCTCTGGTATTCTCAAGTGAATTATTTATTTGCACGGCTATCTTCTACATGAGACGACTCAAACGTTTTGAAGAAATCACAGAAACGATGCAATAAAGCTGCAGTCAGCTGTATATTTTTTTCGGAAGTTGTGACTGTAAAATAATCTGCTTTTCTTTGAAAGACTTCAGACAACAGTCTCCCACACGAGCGCGGAGCGGTTTTCAGCGCGGTCGAAAACAATAATTACTATTAACTCTGTATATATTCGAAGTATTAAGAAAAGAGAACTTGTAAACGTGTATAGGGAAGATATTCAAAGCATTCTTCGAAAACAAAGGCCGTTTCCTTTTTTGCGAAATGTAATTCGTCCAAGGTCATGGGTCGCGAACCAAGGACCAGTACGCAAAATTTGGTTATATTTTTTCAAGAGTCGGTAAAACAAAAAATTCGAAGTCTACAGCAATGTGCTTCCAACGGCAGAAAAACGTTTATCTGAAAACTTGTTCTGCAAAAAGGCACGTCCTCCCATTGCGTTTTATTTATTCACAAGCTAAGTAAACATGACCACGGTGCTGCCGAGTCCAAACTTCAAGCTAGAACGACAAATTAACCTACCTGTCAACAAACTTTAATCTCGCTCCTTCAAAGAAAGAAAGAATGCTTATAATCAATAAATCATTGAACCTTTCATTGTTCATTGTATTTTATTTCTCGACGAAATATTTAATCATGCTCGGGAAAGTCGCCGACCAAGGACCACATACTAACTGTACAAGTCACTCGCTAACATTTCCTCCACCGATCGATCTTCAACCAAGCTTCTGGGCTTCCGTAAACAACAGAGAAAGTCCCTCTATCGGCAACCCTCATATTCTCTTTGCTAATATCACTGAGCGTTACAGCAGGAATACCAATATTTTCCAGCTTTGTAGATTGATCTTTCAAGATTTACCAGGGGAGAAACAACATCAACATAA